TATGTACATTTCACATCCCACTTAGAGTTCAGATCAATGTACTAAAATAAACAAGACAAGTATAGAGAACTCAACTTTAATCTAGACTTAACTCGTTGCCGGTTGAACATGGACAACTCAACATGAAAAACTGAAGTGTTTAAACTGCAAAGCGGTGAACGAAGGTCCTGCTTGATTGAACGCTGGATCTCAGAGCAGATCTAATCAGCCAAACTTGAAAAGGAAAACGATGATACGTGACTACTGCAAGGTTGACACAACGTCGTAGAGTTAAAACAATATTTCGGCTCGCCTCAAGTTTAGATTTCACTAAATTATAAAAATGAAACTACAATATTATACAATAGTGCCGACGTTTGTCTTGCATTCAGTAGCTGTCTCGTTCATGAAAAGTTGTTCGTTTCGCTCATATAAACTCATTAAGGTCAAGGAATAAGACACATTCTCATCAAAGCTTACCACATTAGCTTTTCAGGTCACTTTCCAGCAAACAAATGCACATCTCCTGGTCATTTTGAACGCCTGGACGACTCAAATGCTCCTGAAATTCCGCCTTCAAGTTGGCCATAGTACTAATTCGAACAGTCGAAGTCAACTCCACTTCAATTTAGCGAAACACCACTCGGGCCGACTAATTACTACGAGCAGTGTCTACACCTCAGTTATTGAGTGCATATCGGAGTCCCCGCAACAAACACGTTTCTACGCTTCGCGTATCCACGAGTTTAAAAAGGGTCACACTTGGAAAAATAAGTCACATTTAGAAAAGGCGGTCTCACCTGGAAAAATAGGTCACATTTGGAAAAAAGAATCATTCTTGGAAAAATGGGTCATCCCATTGTTCTATTGACGAAATTAATCGTAGTCTCTTCGCTTTGGACATTGAAACTTATCAATGGATGCTGAAATTAACGACACGCCCGGAACACTCATTACGAACTCTGCAGCAATATTTAGGTTTCAATACAACACGCAAACGATTTGAACCTGGTCACAACCTCTTCATATTCCCAGTAGTGCATTCCGCCCCCCTAAAATACAATAGATCCTATCATAAAAACCACATCAACTTGTTTTTCATTCACACCTTAAACCTAGTAGTAGAGTGGCTAAGACTCAATTCAAAAACTCATCTCATGAATGGGAAAAGCTCACCCTTCATCGCATGCTCGTAGTTATATGCCAAACACTATGTTTCTTTGACTGATTATCCAGTTACAAATGATTATCAAACCCGCCCACAAAATCCTCAGCCTAACCCACAGAATATGTCGAAGTGAGCCCAATATATGAATACTTCCTTCTCGTTTATATAGGAATAAATATGACCGTTCTGAACTGTATCGGGATCAAATCTTCTCACACACCATTTACCTTTACAACAAGAAATTTGATTGGCTGCTTATTGTAGATCCAATCTGATTGGTGTGACATACATACATCTCTCACTCACTCACTCACTCACTCACTCTCTCACTCATCCATTTACCCGTCCATAACATACCCGACGCGCCGACTAAGAGGTATTTTTTTACAAACAAATAACTCAAAAATGGGTCTCATTTGGAAAAATAAGTCACACTTGGAAAAATGGGTAAAACTTACAAAAACGGGTCACACTTTGAAAATCGGGTTACACCTGGAAAAAATAGGTCACACTTGGTAAAAGGGTCACGCGTTGAAAAAAGGATCACACTTTGAAAAAAGGGTCATACTTGGCAAAGTGGGTCACACTTGAAACAATAGGTCACATTTAGAAAAGGGGGTCACACTTGGAAAAATGGGTCACAGTTGGAAAAAGAGGTCACACTTGAAAAAAGAATCACACTTGAAAAAGGGTCACACTTGGAAAAATTGGTCACATTTGGAAAATGGGTCACACTTAGAAAAAAGGTCACATTTGGATATGGGTCAAACTTGAAAAAAATGGGTCAATTTTGGAAAAAGGTCACACTTGGAAAATCGAGTCGCACTTGGAAGAAAGGGTCATACCTGGAAAAATGGGTCACATTTGGAAAAATGGGTCACACGTGGAAAAACGGGTCATATTTGGAAAAACTGATCACGTTTAGAAAATAGGTAACCCTTGGAAAAATAAGTGACATTTGAAAAAACGGGTCAACCATGGAAAAATAAGTAAAACGTGTCACATCTGGTGAAAAGAGTCACACTTGGAAAAATTGGTCACATTTGGAAAAATGGGCCACAAATAGAAAAATGGGTCACCTTCGAAAAACGGATCACACTTGGACAATCGGGTTACACCTAGGGAAATGGGTCGTACTTGGAAGAAAGGGTCACACCTTGAAAATTGTGTCACACTTGGAAAAATGGGTCATATTTTAAAAAATGGGTCACACTTGGAAATATGCGTCACACTTGGGAAAGTGGGTCACATTTGGAAAAACGGGTCACACTTTGAAAATAGGGTTACACCTGGAAAAATAGGTCACACTTGGAAAAACGGGTCATACTTGGAAAAATGGGTCACACTTGGAAAAATTGGTCATATTTAAAAAAAATGGGTCAAACTTGGAAATATGCGTCACACTTAGAAAAATAGGTCACACTTGGAAAAACGGGTCACACTTTGAAAATAAGGTTACACCTGGAAAAATAGGTCACACTTGGAAAAACGGGTCATACTTGGAAAAATGGGTCACGGATGGAAAAATGGGTAACACTTCGAAAAACGGGTCAAACTTGGACAATTGGGTTACACCTGGAAAAACAGGTTACACTCGGAAAAACGGGTCATACTTGGAAAAATGGGTCACACTTGGAAAATGGGTAACATTCGGAAAAATGAGTCACACTTGGAAATATGCGTCACACTTGGAAAAATGGGTAAAACTTGGAAAAACGGGTCACACTTTGAAAATCGGGTTACACCTGGAAAAATAGGTCACACTTGGAAAAACAAGTGAAAAAGGGGTCAAACTTGGACAATCGGGTTACACCTGTGAAAAATAGGTCACACTTGGAAAATGGCTCACACTTGGAAAAAAGGGTCACACATGGAAAGAAGGATCATACTTGGAAAAATGGGTCACGCTTTGAAAAAACGGTCACACTTGGAAAAGTGGGTCACACTTGAAAAAAGTCACACTTGGAAAAGTAGGTCACATTTAGAAAAGGGGGTCACACCTGGAAAAATGGGTCACCCTTGGAAAAACGGGTAACACTTTGAAAAATGGGTCACACTTGGAAAAATGGCTCAC